TTTTTTAAAAAAAGAGTTCTTCCTTCTATAATAATAATAATAATAATAATAATAATAATAATAATAATAATAATAATATCTTCTAGATGAACATCGGTCTGCACTTCTCCCAGGCCCATCAATATATGAGGGCAGGGGTCTCCATCGATTGTATCCCCCCCTTTTTTCCTAGCACTTCCTGGAAGAACCAGGGTAGATCTTGTACCTCCAAGGACATAATCTTGGGCACACAGAAAAATAAAAATAAAAAGGAGATTGTTTGCACGTCATGTCCTGTTCTCGTGCTGTTCTGGAGCATCTGTTTGGCCACTGTTATAGTGCTGGATCCCAGAAGGCTGTTGGCCCAATCCAGCAAGGCCATTATTACATTTTTTTAAGCAAACAAATGAGAGAACAAGCCAGCTATTGCGGGGGGGAGAGGGGGGCAAAGAGAGCCCTGATCTCCCCCCTTTCTCCTCATCATTTTGAAAGCATATCCTCAGCTTCAAAAACGGGAACAGGACAAACTTCTAACAATGATGCAGACAGATTACTCAACCAAGATGTTCTTCTGGCAGTGACGCAGCAAAAGAACTTTTGCCGGATAAATATTTTGATTTTGGATCAGGAGAGAAGAATGCACACACACAACAAAAGAGGCTGAACTTTCAATAAATCAATTTCAGCATCAGTCCCAAATGCCAGGGGCAAAAGTGATTGACGGCCTGCCCTGACTGCAGATAAACACTCCTGAAGATTCGCAGGCCTAAGTCAAGCTTCCCAAATGACACCCCCGCCGCCCCCCCCAAGATTCCCATGGTAAGATGACACTTCCAAGAACCCAAGGCCACAACCTTCAGTTGGATCCCTGCTCCTGTAAAACAGCGACAGGATGAGCACGACATCTGCTCTATCCAAAGGCCTTAAAGCAATACTGCAGAAAATGCCTCGCTATGAACGCAGCACGGCCTATGTATTACCGAGCAAGAGTATCAGGGCACTTTTCAACTTTCCCTGGTCGCAAAGAACAAGCCCACAGCCTTTGCAGAGAATCTTTCTTCCTTTTTTTTTTTTGCAAAAGGGACCGCAACATGAACACAGGGCAGAGGAAGAAAACTCAGAGGGCACACGTCCATGCCGAAGCAGCTTCCATCCTTGACCGGCGATAATTCAGACGTACGTTTGCATCAATCCATAAATAACAATCAGACTGCTATCCACAGTGGGTCTGGTAACGCTTTGTACGCAACTCGCATTTATGGAGAAGGTCACATTTATTCCAAAGGAAGTTTCATTGTGTTCATAGACAACCAGTCAGGGAATTTAGCCTATGTATGAAAAGGAGTTGGAAAGGATCTTAGAGGAACTTGCAGCATGACACACTCATCGATTCGGGATTCAACGTCACAGAACACACACATTGTGTTTATTAATGCCTGTACACTAGGGCTAAAACATGACAATTCCAGCTGGAGGCAAAAACTTCCATCAAGCATTGGTGAGAGTGCAACCAGATTCACACATCACCCTAAGCCAGTGTGTTTCAAACTCAGCAACTTTAAGATGTATGGACTTCAACTCCCAGAATTCCCTAGCCAGCATGCTTTAAGATGCTTGCATGCTGGCTGGAGGACTCTGGGAGTTGAAGTCCACAATCTTAAAGTTGCTCAGTTTGAAACACACTACCCTAAGCTATGGAGTGTTGAGAAAGTCATCGCTGGCTAGGTTT